TCTCTTGTATGAAAAGCTTTTGCGGATCTAGATATCACGTTGTAGGACTGACTTCTACTTAGATTTGCGGTACAAAACGAATTGGTCTTCTCTTTTTATTACTGTAGGACTACAGTGGGACTTTTAAAAGAAATGCTCCTCAATAAAAGCATGTATTGCTCCGAAACATCATCCGAAAAGGCTGGAAGCATTACGTTACCGTTGTCACTGCTAATTCCATACCTTTCGCATCAACTTTGTCTTTAATACAAGAATTAGGACGGGTCCGTGACAGTGGATTGTAAACGACTCCCAAAACTTCGATCATACCATTCATACCGCAGACATTCACAAAGTCATTTACTAAATGGAGGGAATAGGTCTAAAAACCTAAATCTCAAAGTTTTCAAGAGTTCTAAAAAAGATTCTGGAATGGCGCTGGTTTGCACGACATGTTTTGGAATTTCCTAGCGCAATTTTACAGTGTTTAAGGGCGATGGATAGTGTGAATCTAAGTTAAAGTTGATACATTTTTGGGACAACGAGAAGCACAGATTTGACAAAGCTCAATTCTTCTCAAATAATGCCACAAACGTCATTTTCGTAATATCCATGACAGCCTTCCGAACGCGTAGTAAACGGCTCTGCAAGCATGGCAAACTGCCAATAAATCTTATGCGATTTTTCCCTAACTGCTCTTATTGCTCGCCTAAGTACTCTCTCTTATGGGCAGGGTGGAGGTACTCTACCTAAAAATAGTAATCCCAGAGGGCCATTGTTCCAGTCGTATTAGTATGCGCAGGAGATATTCCGTCCTATAAGTGCATATGCTCCCTTCTTGGGTACCTCCACGTTACGAGATCCTCGTGTTGTTTTCCTTCCATTTGTGTGTGTAGTGCGTGTACTCATTTCTCCATGAGAAAAAGTTCAAGGCCTCCAGAACTCAACAACATTGCATGCATTTGCGAACAAGATCCTCTCCCCCCCTTATGCGACAATTTTAAAGCTTTAAACACAATTTTCCTACAAATTTGAACTAAGTTCGCTCTCCAGTGAAGCAGCTCATTTTTGTCTGGCTAATCCTATAAGCTACTTCATCTCCTCAAGCATCAAGTCGACCAATGTTCAAACGTGGTTCAGGTCATTCTGAGAAAGAATAAGATTCAGTAAATTCACATTTTTGGAATAAGTCGCTGAACTTTCATATGAGATCATATATGTTATTCTACTGGGGAAGCACTTATCCTAGAAGGACAACATCAGATACTTAGTTTCACTCTCCTCCTCCCCCAAGAGGGGCGCGAGATATTTGAATGTTCTGATATGTTAGTATACTTATAATTGGCCGAAATTCTTACGAGTCTTGTGATCAAGGCTTTGTAGAATGCTTTTATGCAAAATTTATGAGAACTTCGGGATTCATCAGGACATTCGGAACTCAAAGTGATATAAATCTTTGTAAATAGGGTCGTAGAAGCTAGGCAAGTTCATGAAATTTGTTGTAAATTTTCTATCTCCCTCCCCCCTCCCCTACTCCACAACTGAACGTTTGTCGCCACATCGTTGTAACCGCCTTTCAAGATTTTCTTGTTTTACATTCACCTAACTACAATTTTTTGATTTTAACCATAGCTAAGTTTCCAATACTGCCAAACCAACTAATCATGTTCATCAGGGAAGCGATTTCAACCACCATCTAAAATGTTTCCCAAACCTAGTATCCTGTATCATCTCCTTGAAACAATTTATTCGACATGTATCCAGATCTTAGTACCTAGCATTCACCACCTTGCTTTCTCTAGAGTTAATTTTACCGGGGTCAGCTAGTTTCCGCCTGCCTTGCTAAGATTTAAAAGGAGAAAAGACGATGTACTACGGAAAAGGCAAGAGTCTAGCGTCTATTCTTTTTAGATCAAGTGTACTTCCTGCATAGCTCCTAATCGTTTGGTAGGCGAACCTGAATATTTTGATGAGTCTGGGTCCTCGCAGTTTTCTCGTGTACATTTAATCCATATGATTTGGGGCTGGCTGGTGATACATTTTCTTCGAGGTTTACATTCCCTATGGTGCACTTTGAGAGCATAAGTAAAGTAAAGCATAATAACTTGAAACCATCTCGTTTAACAGAATACTTTTCTGCTACTACACCAGGGCCGGTAGTAACTCCCCCCACCTGGCGGTAGATCTCGCCCGTAGCCCGTCATCTTCTAGTGGTGAGGTACGCAAATACTCCGGCCTCATACTTGCACCCCCAAGAACCTCCTTTTCAACGAAATTCTGGTCAAGGAGGTCAAAATGATCTCATAGAAACTTACACTGCAACTTGAAATTTTGGAAAAACATCTATTTGAAAAAAAAGTACAGGAGATGCTGCCGGCAAGTTCCCGACATATTCTGTCGGTCTCTCGTCAAAATCCGCGAAGGTGAAAAACTTAGCAGATTTAGGATAGGAGAACAACTTTGCAGGAGTCATTTTAGACTTTGTCTACGCAGGTCTAACGATACTTAATCCGATCATGATATTTGTCTGCTTCTGGCTACTGTATCACGATAGCTGTGTAGCCGTTTAAGAATTGACTCAATAAGCCGAAACAGATTTTCTTACTATCAGAGTTGTTCAGCACGTTTGTTGAAATGATTATACTCTGAACATATTTTTCTTCACAACGCGACACTGTACATCTTGCACACTCATTCTTCATGGGCAGTAGCCAAGGTTTTGTGTCTTATTAGTAGAATTTCGATGTCTTATCATAGAAATGACCGTGCAAACTGCGATTCAGGTGATCCCGCTCAAGCCGCAGCGAAACCGAGCAGATTCGTTCTGAAAACAAAATCGTAAGCCTTTGCAAAGCACTCGTCCAAGTCGGAAATTCGCTTAAACAAACGTCTGCTTGACCGCGTCTGTTTTGCGTGGTGCTGATCCGTTTGAGGGAGCACAAACCATCGCAAGTTTCCTGTTGACATGCGACTCCAAAGTTAAAGTACATGTTCCATAGAATTAGGGGCTTCTTTCCATTGTTGTGGTGGGATGTCATGGAAACATACGATTTTTCTAGACAACTTGTAAATCCTCTAGGCAGCGAAGTGAGAATTATTTGTAAATGTCCTAATAGATTATTGTAGTGACCAGACTCTGCTAATTAGGATATAAGATAATCTCCCAAGTGGAAAAGAGGAGATTAGACATCAGCGTGAATGAGTTATCAACAATCAGCCTATCGTTTTCTCTTCTGCAGCTTCAAAGCAATTTTATAGCTTGAACTGTAGTCGTAGTTGCTTTCAAAAAATATTATCTGGACATAAAGTACACATTTGTTGCTCTTGAACTTTTTGCGATTAGCTTCGCAATAATCTGGTTTCCATAAAGTCCCCGCTATGTTCATGAAAATAAAAAAGAATTTTAGTGGATGTAACGAAAGGTATTTTAAGAATCTCAATAGTTAACACATGACCACAAGAGCAGGGAGATAGATAATGATCTTTTCATGCCTTCGAATTCCACGCGAATTTCGTTTTTCTTATTTTTGGTAGCCATACCCTTTCTGATTAATATAGCCTAGAATCATAGAATAACTCGTCTGTTTTTCTGTGATTATTCATTGTGTTAAGTACCGAGCTTTATTCATCACCACTACTTAGCGTAACAAAAAAAAAATTATACTGTCATACTATTATATGACTAAGACCTTTCGCAATTGCAAAAGCTTTTATCCAAACTTTTTCGCATTGTTTCGTGGCAAAATTCTCTTACTATCTTATGTTTAAGGACAAATCATTCACAACTTGAAATTTAGGAGGAAAGAAGCAAACTCACCAATTTCAAATTGATTTACACATCTAATCCTTTCAATCTGCTCAATAAATACCTTCACTTTTATTTTCTAGACTGAACCGAATATTCGTTCGCACCATTTTCAAGAAGTCGAACATGTGATTACAAAGGTTTTGTTTGACTTAAATCACATCAAAAAGCTAAGTCGTGGGCTCTCCAACAGCGATCTATGCCTCTCCATTAAGCTCAGGTTGCAGAGATAAAATTGAAAGAAAGAGCTCATTCGAAGTCCGGAGATTTTAAGAAGCGTGTTCTAAATTTGAGCGAAAAATCCAAGTTAGTCAAAATGTTGAGTTCTCTAATCTTCCTTTTCTCTTGAGCAGAGCTTGTGTTATTGAGCCTTCTTCAAAAAGCTACGGTTTTCTAGGGAACAGCGCAACATAAAAAATTAATTTCTTAACTTTTTTCTCGAAAATAAGATTTCAAAAGCTAGCTTGGTTTTGTAACCTAATTCAGATAAAAAGAGATGGTCAGAAAAATCATAATCTCAACTGTTTTGCATTTTTAGTTTTTGTATTTCTAACCAGCGCTTAAAATTTTGGATTTTGAATTATTCCATTCTTACTTTTTCATTTCTGCAAATCTGTGCTTAATATACAGAGCCCCTAACCACTGGTTTTTTGAAATGGGGCGAAACAAGCGTTTGCCTCAACCTAATATAAACTCCTCCATTCCTGACGTCTTGACGTCAATAACTATTTTCAACTTTCACATGTAACATATGATTTGTGGACAATTATTAGGTTCCAAAGCAGTTAAATGTGAAGGTGTATATCATTAGTAGAAAGTGCGGTAACGTATCTATTTTACTTTTTTTAAGTGGAGTTATGATATCACTTTTCATTTGAATTTACAGCTGTCGACATTCAAATGATGTCTTAAAGTTAGAAATTTGTTAAAATAGCCAACTTATGGTCTTATCACGTTTATTTCCCATTTTCATTACTTACCGTTAATCTGTTATGATGTTATCTGTAGTTGATGTCAATTTCCTTTAGAATTCCCCGTATAGAGACATACCCTAGCCATGTTTACCACCTCCTTCGTAGCCATGTGCTGCTTTTTTCGTCCCATCAGATGTAATCATATATTATAGACGTTGTTTTCCTGTATGTCTTTCACCGAACCAGCTCTAATTCGTATTTGTCTCGTAGTTTTAACGAAATTTTCAAATGTTAGATTTCAGATTGCGATGGGCAACGAACAATCTGGCACCGATCACATGAAGTCACGTCGAAGTCTGGACGCCAATTTTTTACGTCAGGTAAGCCGAATTTTAAAAAGTAAGATATTGCAAGATTATGGAAACAACATTCTGTAACCAAAGTGTGAGTCGCATCGTCATAAGCACTCGTTTTTTACCTAGATACATCAATATTCGAATCTTCGATAAGACTCATTAAATGAGTTTTTTTCTAACAATAAGCATACTGTAGAGTTGTTGAATTTGTACTGCAAATGAAAACTATTCTGGTTTTTAGACTTATGTCCGGTTCCGTGCGACTGTAATTTACTATTTTTTGAATAGATAAAAACTTATTTTTCTAGGATTACACAGCCCACTTGAAAAATCAAATCGGTACTTCTTTGCACCATGTTGGCTCAGCAAACTCAAATCCTTGAATAGTAAATGCTATCGTTTTTGGTAGCTGATGGGTGAATAAAATTCATCAAGTAATCGTATTATCACTAGGGAGCTTGTGGTGATTGTTTTGACTTCATGAATTACTGTAGCCCTTGGGGGAGATGTTACAGTATATAGACTGACCAAAGTTCGTGCGTCAGAGATGCGCCTAAAGCTGAATAAACTTTCATGTTTTGTGACGTCTAATACACTGCGAACGGGAAAATCTCAGATTCAAACTAATTTTCCAAATCTATGAGAGTCGCTGAGATAAGGTTGGACCTATTTTCAAAAAAAAATTCTAGTTTGACTATGAAAGCAGTGAATGAAATTCAATCTTCAATTCTCTCCCACACCGTATGCTTTTCTCGCGCCATGAGTAAATGTAATCTGTCACTTAGCTAAGAGCTTAGCCAGGATTCTTCGATCAGTCTCCATATAAACCTAGATACTAACATTTATCTGGTCACTTCCTTTATAGTCGCATTCCAGTATATCTCCAAGGGAAAAAGCGCGTCGATGTTCATGTGTGATCCAAATGATCCTCTCTTTCACTTCCAAAATGGTTTTTCTACCCTTTACAGTAAATATTGGGTTGCACAATTTTTGCACCAGAAAATAGAAGAATTAGCTTCAGAAATGCTCAAACAAGCCTACTATACATTTGTAGACCTCCTGTCACTACCATCTTTTTTGAACAGAAAGAGTAGATCACAAAACCAAGGGCGAAAATAAATTCAGATCTTACTAGACGATTAGAAAGTTGTGCGATCAAAATTTCAAAAAATCCCTTTTTGGGTATTTCTATTAATCTCGTCGTTGCCATATGCCAACGAAGAACTGCAATTCAAACACAAAGGAGAAGAGCAAAATTTTCTCTCTCTATTATGTAACAAATTAGAATTTCTGTTGAAAACCCTAAGCTCCTCCTATTTTTCAGAACTTACGAGGTTCATGAATATGGAGAAAGCAGAATTTTGAATTTTGGTGCAAGAATTATGCATCAACATATGTAGTAAGTTGAAAAGCATATGTAATAGTTACACAAATTGCCTTCGATACTTTATATGATCCCCTGAGGATTATATAAAACCCTAAGCGCTCGTATCCTATTTCTCAGAACTTACGAGGCTCATGAATATGTCGCAAATATGTGCTGAGAAAAAACTTGACTGTGCTGAGCATGTTTCTGATGGGAACGAATAAATTACAGCGTTAACGAGATTTTTGATTGGACATCATTCGTTAGCAGTTTTGAAAGAAATTAGTAACTTTGCGACTGGACTTCATCACATCAAAAACTGTTTACTGATACCAAAACAAACCTTTTACATTTTTTGACGCTTTCATTTATTTCAAAGAAAGAAATATGATTTGGAAGAAAGGACAACAAGTCTCTGGGGATCCCTTAGAGGAAAAATGAATATCATTTCATATGGCAATATCCCTCTGTTCAATATGTTTACAATGGAGAGTAATAGAGCCCTTTGAGAATGGAATAAGGGAAAAGCAAGTTCTCTAAAAGACACGGTGAAGGTGATCGACTTCCTTTTTTGAATTCTATTCTTTCTGGTAGGATACATGGGTATAAGGGCTTTAATTACACATATTATGAAAATTTCTCAACAGATACCTGAGCAGATAAATTCTTAAACTTCAAAAGGTATCTATACCCTGTGAATGAGCCTGTGGAAATGACTCAGCACTTTGTTCCTAATATTTGTGCTAATTCTTACGATTTTTCACTTAATGCATAACTAAATCAAAATCAACAATATCGAAATAAAGTGCACGATTACTTAAAGGCTTGTTTCAGCTTTTGATCTGGCTGAACTTTGTTACTTACGTTTTTAGTGATACATATTGCAGATTTTGATGGAACGTAAACATAGTCACAGCTAAAAGTTTGAGGATTATTCTGTTTACTACCTCCGAAAATTGCAATTGATGTTGAAAGAAAATTTTCAGACGCCTCAAAAAACCAGTCTGCTTTTTTACGAATGAGTTCTAACAACAAGTTTGTACGGATTAGAACAAATTTGGAGCAATCAGTATACCTCTTTTTCCGTGCCATCAAGCATCCAACTCTTTTAGAAAGTTCTAGCAACGGAAGATTGTTCAATTCATGTTGAGAATTTTTTGCACTTTTTTTAGTAGTTCGAACCTCGAATAAAACATTCGAGCAGATTTCTTTACCAAACTGTGCTGAAAATGTGCAAGACAGACTAGTAGTGTTAGTTATCATCTGGTATTGTCTCTTTTCACAGGCGAGGGTTAATATAAGTTGACTTTAGATTTTGTGGGTTGGGTCAAATAATGCGCAATTATCGTAATAGAACAGCTTTTGTGGGCTCTTGCCAATACTTTAGGACTGGCTGCTGACTTCAGGTGGGATTTGTAATAAAAATTAGCGATCTCACCCATCACTGTAAGATAACGGCAAGAACTTGCAAAGAGTTTTGCGTAAGTGGAAGTTAGTGCTTCAGAACGCTGTCATAGAACCTGGAAACTGGCTACTGAATAAATAATAGTCTTTGTTTATTTTGATGCACATGTTAGCCTTCTCTTTAAAGGGGATTTGAAAGGAAGGAAAATGCGGTTACACCATCCAAATCTCTTATTGGATTTCTACAAACTTGCATGCTGAAATCGTATAATCCGACAAACTCACTGCAGAAGATGTCAAGAATTCGCAGTTTCATTTTGAGATGAAGTAGATTACAAAATCATTCTGGAAGTCGCTACACAGCTCCCACTGTAGTAAAAACAAATTTGTGATGCCATTCTACAGTAGCACTAGATGGGGCCAGGCCTATAGTACAGCATTTAGCACATTGACGACAATGTGATTCACATGGTGAGTCATGCAATGACTGGTTTTTAGAAGTTCTGTTATGCTTTGTTCCTAGGAATTACTTCCGCATTTCTTGGCTGCTCCTCAAAATCACTGTGGGGATACTGCAGATGACGGCTTGCTTGATTTTAGCTGAACTTACTGAACTTATTGTAGAAGATATCGTCCCACAAAGCAGACAGCTAAAAATGCACACTGTCGTCAACGTGTTAATAGCCAACAAATTTCTTCAAAAACAGTTTCTGACGATCAGAATATTAGCCACATTCTCTAGGCATCTAGTGCCTAGAAAATGTGGCTATTATTCTGATCTTTATTTTACCGGAATATTTTTGCAATTATCCGAAGTTTGAGTTTTCCCAAACCAGAGAGGTTGGTATGTGTACGCCATCTTCTACAATTCAGGCCAAATTTTTGCAGTATTGGCGCTCGAATTTTAGTTTTTCGTCAAAATGCAATTTATGACATTTTTTCTCTTTGACGGTGATGGTCGTATAATATAAAATTGCTCGGATGCCGTCATTCCAATAAAATTGCTCTAAAAAAACTAACGAAAGAACCAGCTGTCCAAAAAAATCATAATGTAAGCGACTAGGATAGATTTCGTCGAGCGAAATTCCAGAAATGACATCACATAGTAATGGAATTTCAAGAGGTCATATTAATGTGTTTTCTTGACGAATGAAAATGATATGTTGAGTGAAACCGACGCTATGGCCTCATAATGCTGTCACCATCTGTTTGTAGTCAAATACGTTGTCTTCTCGAAAAAAATTGACTGGTTATAGCATTGAATTGACGTCGGCGTTGACATGCAAAATATCGTGATGGTTTGATTTTGCGATGAAAAAAATTGTAGTCCACAAAAAATAAGAAAGAATTTATTACAGAAACTACATTTTGGAGGAGAGCATACAATCATTCTTAGCGCTGCGATTGCTCATACCTTCAGTAACTACTCTACCGTATTATTGCCTTACTCAACTTACCTTTTTTGTTGAGCACATAGGGTTTCTCGAAGAAAAAACCTTGTAGAAAGACCACCGTCTCTTTCCTTTCAGTAAGGCATTTTTCTATAATAGTTGCTAAGAAGTCGTTGACTAAATTCTTTTGCAATCCATCCAATTGGTGAATGTTAACCATTTGAGAGTTGCATATGTCTTGTTTGTACAAAAACTTGAGAAAACTTTTTCGGCAACCAATTTCATTATTTTTCCTCGCGAGAATATAACCCACAGATGGAGCAGCTTTAAATTGGATAGCTCACTCAAGTAAATAGCATAGTAGTTTCACTCACTTTTGAAAACTTGACCATGAATCAGAGCCATCGAAAATAATATTCTGCCGAATGCCTCATAACATCCATCAGGGAAATAATTAGAGAGCTCCTGAACCCTTTTTGAAATCAAACGTACTAGTAGATGTCATTTACATTCCGACAACAAATTCATTTTTTTCTCAATTTTATTGAAGAGTTTGATCCTTTTCACATTTTGAGTTAATCATATGCATTGCATCTAATATGCTCTCAAACTATGACAAACCAATAGAGGAATTTGGTCCTTGGATTTTTCCCGAGGAGGCTCAAAGGAAAGTCGGAAAATTCTTTTGAGTCTATTTGCAGACTTGAAACTTTGCAGAGAACGCAATTGTTTTTGTCCTCCATAAAATTCCCCTTTCAAAATTGCGCATAATTTTCTTCTTATAATGTCCAGTGGATCTAGGCCGTGAATCAATATCTCAATATTTCTTACAAGGGGAGGATACTTGGTCAGTGCAGTTTCAA